ATCTGTCTCTAATAGTTGAAAATTAGTGTATGTATATATTAACGTATGTATGTATAGTATTTATGTATAAATATAGATTAGTAGTATTTATGTATAAATAGTATTTCATAGGACCTTATTTACTTCTCTAATTTATGTATATATACCTATCACCAGTTCAAAATGAATATATCCAAGGGTTGCCTGGAAGAAATTGCACTAAGCGATAAGGCCGCCTTTTGTACATTACATCAGTTGTTAATCTATACAAATAAATAAAATTGGAGTGTCTGTTTGTAATATTAAAATAACCGCTTTTTACTAAATTCATATGTATGTTTACACGGTACATATGCCAAAATAACGTTTTTACAATTTTTGTCTGTCCGTCTGTCTGTTTGATCCGGGTAATCTCTGGAACGGCTGGACCGATTTCGACGGGACTTTCACTGGCAGATAGCTGATGACATAAGGAGTAACTTAGGCTACTTTTTTTTAGACTAGCTTCGCCCCGCGGCGTTGCCCGCGGTCAAAACAACAAACGCGGGTCACACCGCGGGTCTCAGCTAGTTACTTTATAAATTCTGTAAAACCCTGGTGTACAAATAAAGTATTTATCTATCTATTAGACAGTAGTCTTCAGGACTATTGGTAATTAATAATAATAATACCTTTACATATCTTACTTCTCGTGTTTCGAAAACCACGTTAAACCGTCGGGTCTGGTTGCCAAAAGAACATCTGCAGTAATCGTTACGGGTAGTTTTTTTAAGCAACTACCGCCGCCCATGGACACCTGCAATTTAAAAGTCACAAGTGCGTTGCTGCCCTTTTAATCCCTCCCGCTCGAGTAGGCGGGGGGATTTGGGCTCCGTTACCTCACTCAATCAGTGAAAGGCAACGAAAGAATTGCTTAACACCGGTTTTCAGTGAGGCCATGGTATCATTCCGGTCGAGCCGGCTTATTCGTGCCGAAAGCATGGCTCGGTAAAAAAAGCCTTAAAAAGTTCGACAGCAGTCTTTCTACAGGACTTCGATATCGCCTAGTGCTTGGGTTGTGGAGGTCAGCTGGCAGTCGCTCCACGTAAAAAAATCTAAGTTTAGCCATTTGGGAATTAGGCTTAGAGGCAGAAAACCTTTATCTGAGTACGTCTCACACACGGCCGCCTGATCACATACTAGGCAGAGCCTGTACTATGGTACCCAAACTGTTGATAAACATACTTATACTACGAGTGCTAGACAACTGATATAAATACATATCTGGCTTGTTGGTCTAGTGGTTAGTCACCCTGACTGCTACGCCAGAGGTCGTGGGTTCGATTCCCACCCAGAACAAATAATTGTGTGATGAGCACGGTCATTTGTTCTGTGTCTGGGTGTAATTTATCTATAATATGTATGTATTTAGAAATATATAAGTATGTTTATTAGCAGTCTGGTTACCACAGTACAGGCTCTGCCTAGTTTGGGATCAGACCGTGTGTGAGATGTGTGTGAAATATTAAAAATATTATTATTAGTATAATGCTTGATCGTGTTCATCACACAATAATTTGTCTTTAGCGGGAATCGAACCTTCGACCTTCGGCTTAGGAGTCAGGGTCACTAACCACTAGACCAACGGTCCACGTGTGGCACGCCGCTTTTGATATTACCGGTATTGATTTTTAGGCGTTTTTAGGCATTACGAAGTACAATCTTCAGGACTATTGATGATTTTTTTTGTAACCAGAGTGCCTTGGGACAGTGGGACCGCCCCGACCGGAGTTGTACCACAGCTTCACAGAAGACCGGTGTTAGGCAGTTCTTTTGTTACATTTGATTGCCTCGGTGGCGCAGTGGTAGTGTATGCGACTGTTGTGTTGAAATCAAGGGTTCGATACCCGGGCCGGAACAAAGGTTTGTATGATCTGCAAAATTTTTGTTTAGGAGTTTGGGTGTTTTCTATGTATAATATGTATATTCAAAAAAAGGAGATAAGTATTTTATCAGTCAATATATCTTTCATAGTACAAGCTCTGCTTTGTTTGAAACTAGATGGCGTTGTGTGTTAGCTGTCCGAAAAATATTATTATTATTTCACCGAGTTAGTAAGTTTATCGAAGGACCAAGTTTATCGAAAGACCAAGGGGTATCAAATGGTAGCATCGCTCTCGTGTCTGTATCAAGTGCTACCCCTATGCTCTTTTGCCACCTATAGTCCTAAAACATAAAATTATAGGTATAATAAAGACGTAGCTGCGTGACTGTGGGCCGTACAAGTGACCAACTTGCGAGGTTAACGCACTTTAAACCGAAACGGCTGTGAATCTAAGAAAACGTTAATTAACGCAGTTAGTTTCTTTACTTAAAAGCTATATTTTTTTAGTACTTGCGTGGCAAAAGATCACTACGTGAGCCACTTGTGGACGTATAATATTCTTTGTGGCGTTTGAGATGCTGTGTCATCACATCATCAACAGCCTTTAATAGCCACTGCTGGACATAGGCCTCTCCTTAGAAAGGAGGTTTTGGCCTACTATACTATGGCCAGACGGGTTGGTATAGGGTTTGTGTCAAGTTTTCCTTCTCTCTGCAATGCTGATTGTCGCCTCTTAGATGCTGTGTACTCCAATTGAAAAGATATGAGCTTTTAATATAACTCTCTCTTCTTACCCCTTCGGGGTTGAAACGTGAATATATTTTTTCCGTAGGAGACCCATGTTTCAGCACATACGTGTCGGCTCGACCGGATTTAAGATAGTCACTTACTACACTATAAAAAACCGAAATACAGATACCGGCGACATTGTAAAAATTATCTCGACAGGTCAACGAACTATAATAACGCTTAAATACTGCAAAGATAATTAACTAAACATAACATCTCTTTGATATATTCGTCATGGGTCAGAAGACACGGATAACGAACATACCTTTGTTAATTTTAGCAAGCCAACGTAACCTGAAATTAACACAATCTTGTACTAAATTTCGGTCCGTGTGGTGACGGATTAAGAATACAGAGTGTCACCACCCCTATTCATCCCGTGGGTGTTGTAAAAGGCGACTAAGGAAGCAAACTACGCAGGACAACACCACTGCAGAGAGAAGCAAAACTTGAAACAAACCCTATACCAACCCGTCTTGCCAGCGTGGTATAGTAGGCCAAAACCTCCTTCCTAAGGAGAGGCCTATGTCCAGCAGTGGACTAGTAAAGGCTGTTGATGTGTACTAAATTTTGTGGATTTGGGAAAAGCATTCGACTGATTCGCAAATCTATACAAATAAATAAAATTGGAGTGTCTGTTTGTAATATTAAAATAACCGCTTTTTACTAAATGCATATGTATGTTTACACGGTACATATGCCAAAATAACATTTTTTACACATATAATATAATTATTGTATGTGTAATTAATTACATAATAACATTCCTTACGCTTTTTGGTAGACGTTTGCTACGTTTGCCTACTGAAGTGATGGCAAAAAGTCTTGTTAAACCTTTTTCGGTATCGCTCCAATCCGCTCAGAGCGTGTAACACGATAAGAAACTTCTTTACAAAACGTTGGGAATCGAACCATCTGTCTGACTTAACAGTCATCGCTAACCAATAAACCAACAGGCGAAATGGTAATGGTGTAATAAAATACGAATAATTCAACGCGCAAGTACTCAAACATAAATTTACTAATGAATTTACTTACAAAACAGTGGCTCACCTCGTGTTGGTTCATTTACAATTGTAATTAGTGGTCTGATATGTTCAGTATAACTGTATACTTCAAACTAATAAGTCATTTAAGTTCAGAATATTTTCTTAATTCTCGTAGCTCGATTTGTTAAGTTCCCTTTTTAACCGAGTTCAAAAAGTAGGAGGTTATCTATTCGTATGTTCGGGTATAACTCTGTCATATAAAGACGGATTTTCAAAATTCTTTTTTTGTTCGAAAGGGGTTTAGGCAGAAATGGAATCCATTTCAATTTCATATAGATCTGATGATGAGTTTCAGAGACAGACAACGGAACTCTTCAAAAAAATGACAGCAAATCAAACGCGATTGCTGCTGGGGTTTTAGTGCTCCTTATTAGTATTATTTGCAGTCGGTTCAATTTTGTTTTTTTAAGAAAGATTTTCTTGTTAAATACAACTCCCGCACTAGAAATATATCCTGTGTCGCGGTGGACTTTACAACCATACATGAAACGGACACAAAGAACACCCGTACTCAGAACAACAATTTGTGGATCACACAAAGTAATGTTCGTTGTGGGGACCGAACCCACAACACCCAACGCAGTACGAAGCGGCGAGTGACCGATCCCAGTTGCTTTGCAATTACAGGAAAAAAGTATATAAATAGCAAAGTAGTTAAAGAGACAGCGTAACAAACAAACTAATAAACGAACAAACATACATTTTAGCATTTATAGTAAAAGGTTAGAAATATAATCTGACATCCACAGACATCTTTTTAAGCTCTTTCATTCTTTTTTTCAATTCAATAAAAAATATAACAACATTGCGTTTAAATTCTATGAACATAAACAAAAAAAGGCAGCATTTGCTTCATATTTCAAACCGTATACGATTTAGGAATAAATACAGTAATGAGTAGCATCAAAGTTTTACTAATGATTTGACTGCAAATGAGGTATTTAAGCTGTCACTTGCGTCACTTCCTAAATGTGTTCATCATTAAACTGCAAAACTTACCTATCGTAATGAAAATTTCAAACCTAAATACATTCTGCCAACATAACAAATGAAAAAAAAGACAACGAAAACCGAGAATCGGACACGTTCCAAACTCAAACATAAATTTTAAAATAATACAATCGCAAATCATAGATAAATGGTAGGATGCTGGTTTATTTATCACTAGCAACACAGTTTACTAACAACGCGTCTACGTAGGCCATAGTATAAAAATGATTTAAGAAACCACAAGCTGAAGTAGATAATTAATCACTATGAAAGTATATTTATGAACTACATTGGCGTGTAAACACATAAAAAACAATATTTCAACTCACCTCTTGAGTCAGCTCATCTCCCGTGTGATGGCCTTCATCAGGCTCCATCTTGACATCAGGACTGTCGTTAGACAAGTCCATATCACTCACACCACTAGAGCTAGCCGTGAAACTAGTGCTAGCTCTTTCACGCTTCACATTTAACACTAACTCCTCTTCAAACATTGGCGCTAGTTCGTAGACTTCAGCATCTAATGGCGTGTTCTCCATCAGATACTGCTCCAAGTTCTGTGGCTGTTGCTTCCCATCCAAATATTCAAGGTCGTTCTTCAATTCTTTAGCATTCTCTTCTCCATATTCTTGCAAATCAGCTAAATTTTGCTCAAATACAGAGTGACTTTCACCAAGATCCAGTTCAGTTTTCGTGTTAAAATACGGCATAAAATCGATGGCATTATCACTGTACAAGTCTTCATTTTCCTCCTCTTTTTTAACCCGCACTTCGAAGTCTGGGTCTTCTTCTTCAGTCTTGATCTGCATCTCGGACGGTTGGACTAAAAACTCGTTGACGTCGAAGGATCTGGATGCTATTTCAGCAAATATATCAGACTCGGTATGGTTGCTGAGAAAATCAGATGACAGTGTCACAATAGCGTCAGGTTGGTTTTCTTCCTCATGATTAACCTCTTCCTCTTCAACTTTGACCTCCTGAGCTACATTATCGTCTGCTGAAACCGAGTCTTCGGTATTTTCGGCGACTGTCGCCGTTGCCAGCACAGGCGCGACTGTGTCGGTCGCCACGTTATTTACTAAATATGTATGAAGCACTGGTCTATTATGCCATATCCGGTCATTATATTCTAAATAAGAATTTCCATACCGTCCGAGTGAATTCAGTTCTTCGAACAATTCACGTTCATAATTTATCAGAATGTTGTCCAGAGATTTTGGATGGACAAATCTTGGTCTTATTAGCGTTCGAGCTTCTTGGTCTAAAGACCAATCTGAGCTATTGGATATGTGGAGACCAGTGATCATCTGCTGGGTCTCCCTCTCCAGGTAATCGTTCGGGTCCACCTTTAAGAGGCTTAAGACTAGCGCGAGACGCAGAAGCTCGTCACCATACAACTTCTTCAACGAAATCATGATTATTAAACGAAATTGAGCACAGTTGAGATCAAATTTTGAAATTAAATTTTATAAAAGATATATAGTCCTAGGTATTTTAATATAATTTGTAATCTTCTTCCTCCTTTTGTCCGACATTTTGACAGTATGTCACTTACACTTTGTGTTTTTGGGATACATTTTCGCGTTTGAACACATTTTCACTTTCCTTGATGAAATCGTGTGCAATGTGTACCTGGCTCTCTGCCAGACCCGTTGAACGTTCGTCGCAATGTTTACTCTGTAAAATGTCCGAGTTTGATACAGCAGTCCTTTTGAGAACTTTTAACGTACACTACTGAAAAATACGAGTTTGGAAAATTTTACTTTATTTGAATAATTTTACATAAGTTTCATTGTCATTCTAAAAGCGACAGCCCTTTGGTGGCCTGGCGATTTTATGATATACCTACATAATGTTACAAAATGATGTGGAATAAAAATGTATTTCGATCTGAGGTACTTTAAAGTATTTAAAAACTGCAACAAATTTATGCCTTATTATACAAGGTACTACCTAATTACGGTATCAAAATAATTTATAAGACCTAAATTCATAATTGAATTTGGGTTTTTGGTCGGATCGAGTCCGACATAATCACGCACTGGTGGGTGGTATCCGAGGGGGAGTTCCGCACAGGAAAAAAAAAAGGTTAATTGCTCTGTGTATAAAACTAAGTATTCAAATTAAAAATTTCATAATCATAAACCAATAAAAAAAATTGTGCCATTTGACGTTAGCTGTCAATAACTTTACAATTCAAGTGAACGATTTAAAATTCGAACGCGTGTGGTCGTCAACGAAATTCGAATATCGGAATTGCTTACACGATGTGTGATTTAAAATGGCGTCCCCAGACACTTTGAAAGTATAATTATAATGTAGTAAATTTGAAGTAACCAGGGGTCGCAAAGCGGAATAACAATGTTATCCGAAATTTAATATTAATATATATTTCAATTTAAATATCTGTACACAGTTGTGTATTTTGTGTTGCCAGCTCGCTAACTGCTATAAAAACGGGTGCGTTCTCATCACACAATCATTCTTCTAATACATATAGTATACTAGCTTTAGCTCGCGGCTCCGCCCGCGTGTACGTCGGTTATCGCGGTAAAAAGTAACCTATATCCTTTCTCACGATTCAAACTATCGCTATACCATATTTCATCTAAATCGGTTTAGCGGTTATAAATTCCACATACAATCTTCCACCCTCCTTTTTACCTCCTTAAAGGATGATTTCTAGGATAAAAACTACGCTATGTCCTTTCCCAGTACTCAAACTATCTCTATGCCAAATTTCATCTAAATCGGTTCAGCAGTTTAAGCGTGAAGAGGTAACAGACAGACAGACACACTTTCGCATTTATAATATTACTATGGATGTTATAATATACTTATATAAGTATGTTTATTAGCAGCCGAGTTGCCATAATTCAGAGCTTTATTATGGAATGGGGGGTTAATGAAACGGGTCACGTGATGGGAAGTGATTACCATCGCCGATACTACCCAAGAGTCACAAACGCTCGCTCTTAGACCCCCCTACTCGAATTGGGAGGGGGGGGGGGGTCAGAGAGGGGGTTGGGTTCCTGTAACTTCCCACACCCAAAAGGCATTGCTTCCTAGACGGCTCTTACGACACGGGATTAACAGGGGTGATGACGTATCCAGAATACGTCATCACCCCGAATACGTCATAGTTGCAATATTTTCATCAAATTTCAATTGGAGTATAAGGTTTGGTTACCAGTAAGTAGACTCTCAATAAAAAATCACTTATCGGGGTCACCACTGTGGAGGAACGGGTGTCACGTCCCTCCAAAACAGCGGGAGGATCCTCAGAGCTCCGGGCCGCAGCCCGTCAGACATAATTATGATTAAGGTTGAGCCTGCCTATCTGTGTCGAAGCATGGCTGTCCCATGGAACTTGTCTATTGAATATTATGTTCCAAGTAATAAAAAGTACAACTTCGTAATAAATACACACTTTAACAAACCATTGGCTTCAAACGAATTAAATTAACCTCACAACAGGAGTTCAACCATTTAAAATTAAACCTTAACAGAATTGAAATAAGTTTAAAAATCGTTAGTTACCAGTAAATGTATTTACCATATTATGAAAGTAACTGAAAAACAACAGAATAGTTAATTGACCTCTTTGGTAAATTTTAAGTAATAGGTACTCTATTTTAAATAACTAGAAAGTTACTTATACGTATTATTTTATTCCGTGTGGTGACGGATTAAGAATACAGAATGTCACCACCCCTATTCATCCCGTGGGTGTCGTAAGAGCCGACTAAGGGAGAGAACTACGCAGAACAACAACACTGAGAGAAGGAAAACTTGACACAAACCCTATACCAACCCGTCTGGCCAGCGTGGTAAAGTAGGCCAAAACCTCCTTTCTAAGGAGAGGCTTATGTCCAGCAGTGGACAATTAAAGGCTGTCGATGATGATGATGATGATGATTATTTGGTTTTCATCATCATCTCTCTCATCTCATCAGGTCTCTCCTTAGAAAGGAGGTTTTGGCTTACTATACCACGCTGTCCAGGTTATTTGGTTATGGCAACAAAAAAATGACATTCGTGGGTATTCGATTGTTATTACAATGCTATCATTTAATCTATACTAATATTATAAAGCTGAAGAGTTTGTTTGTTTGTTTGAACGCGCTAATCTCAGGAACTACTGGTCCGATTTAAAAAAATCTTTCAGTGTTAGATAGCCCATTTATCGAGGAAGGCTATAGGCTATATATCATCACGCTAAGACCAATAGGAGCCGAGCACCAATTAAGAATGTTTCAAAAACGGAGAAAATTTATTACTATTGAGAGACGCAGACGAAGTTGCGCGGGTCAGCTAGTAGTTTTATATATTTTTAATTGCCTGACATTTCGACCAGGGTGTGGCTGTGGTCACAGGCTGACTCAAAACTTTAAATCTGTCTGTGAATATTTTGTTAAAAAAAGTATTAAGGTAATAAAAGTAATAAACTCACACATCTCACACACGGTCGTCTGATCCCAAACTAGGCAGAGCCTGTACTATGGTACTTAACCAGACTGCTGATAAACATACACACATATTTCTAAATACATAAATATTATAAATAAATTACACACAGACAAATAATGTTACATCACACAATATTTGTCCTGGGTGGGAATCGAACCCTAGGATACCTATCCATTAGACCGAGAGCCCATCTGATTATCATTGAGCATAATCTTTATACGATAGCCTTGACTACAGTATACCCGTTTAGACTTCTAGGTCTGTGTCATACAGTTATTTACAAACATACAGCCAACCAACACATAGTATACTCTAACTCTGAACAATCTCTCTGAATCACACAAACAAGTTAAAGATATACGCATCGTCACAACACTAGATTAGCAGCTAAAACGTAAAACTAGAACGTCACATATAGTCCAAAACACAACGAGCCAGACACGTCATTTTTCGACCACAAACAACTCCGAAAAGAAAAAAAACACTCGATTAAAATCGTTTATGTAGTCAGTTACAACAACAATTCATTAACAACTCTTTTCCGCTATCACGATAAAAACAAGAACTGCATACATTTTAAGAAAAAAAATATAGAATGTTAAAATTCTATATTCAAATCCTTTATTGATACCTATGCAATATAAAAAAAAAAGTAAAATTTTCCCGCTTGTATTTTACGAAGCACAGATAAAACAAAGTCCTTTGTTTACGATTAACTCTCTGAACGGAGAACGCGCGCGCTCTCGGCTGTAGCCGCGAGTGTACTGCCAAATCGACTGCACACGTACAATAAAGAATGAATCACATTCATCTTATATATTTTTCCCTGAATTTTCGCTTGAAAAACATATTATTTTAGTTGAAACTTTTGGGTCATAAAGCGTCTTTATATTTTAACTTTCACAAGCCTCCTTTCGTATAAAAAGTATGACGTTCTCTCTGGTTTATAGATTTATAACCTTTGTCTACAATAATTGGTTGGAATAAAGAAAATGCGAGACAGTCTTCTAAGTTACGAAAGGTCAAATCGTTTAAACAGCATTTAGCTGGTAATTTAGACTAATGGACTTAGTTCTTTCTAGATTTGTAAGACTTTTATACCCAAATTCTCGACCGAATTAGACCGATCGTGGTCACAATTAGACCTGTATGTAATGGTTGTGTATTTATGTACTGCAAGTACGATTCAGAAATGTGTGTTATCATTGTAAGTGTACAAATTACAATAATCTTACTAATATTCTTAAAAGCGAAAGTTTGAATTGATTTTTGTTACTCTTTCACGCAAAACCGGCTGAACGGTTCTGGATGAAATTTGACACAGAGAAAGATTATAGTGTGGAATAGCACATAGGCTACTGTTTATTACAAAAAAATGTAGTGTTCCCGTGGGATGAGCAAGGCATAACAACAACCGCGGGGCGCAGCCAGTTTATTGCTTTATAATTGCGTAACTGTTGTCTGGCACCATTTTGATTAATTTTTGAATGGAGATGGTAAGAGAGAAAAGAGAACTTGACCTATTATAACGAATAAAGCAAAAGGGATAGATTATTTAAGTAAAACTAAAAGAAACCCGAAATAGAATCGAATTGAGAAGTAAAAAAACGATTTCCTTTATTCACCTACCCCCATTATAAAATCAATTAAAAGATCAAACATACACTCAAGCCTTTTATCCCTCAATGGATAGACAGGGTCGTTGAAACTGCCAACATTCTGCCTTCTAAAATTCCGGTCTTACTCAAGTAATAGATGGCAAGACTACCCGTCAACCGGGCACATAAATTTCCAAATAAATGTCCACACTCTGTCTGTCTGTTACTCTTCACGCTTAAACCGCTAAACCGATTTGGATTAAATTTGGTATAAAGATAGTTTGAGTCCAGGAAAAGATCATAAGATAGTTTTTATTTCAGAAATCATACTTTAAGACGGTCAAAAG